CGTGCGAGTTGTTGGATCCTTTGGCTGGTAGGCGAAGTGGTGTCTCTGACCAGCCGATGTGAGTGTCATCGTCCCCTCCCCCTTCATCATTGCGTCGACGAGTCCTCAATCGGCAGCGCTGGGCTTGTGTTTCAGAGTGATGGATCTCTGGTTTTCGATGAAGATTCCTCAACGACAACGGTTTTCTCGGGTGTTGGTCTTTTGCGACCGAATTTCGAAGACTTATCGGTTGCCATGGTCATCTTGACAAGGATACTGGCTCCGACTACGGAGCGGCGATGCACCTTCAACTTGCTCCGGCGAGAGTTGTGGTCATCGTGTGATCTAAGGATCTTGTTGTAATTTTAATTACTTATGGGGTGTTCTGTACTACCGTAGAATTTCTCATACAACTTCAGGTCATTTTCGTTAAAAAAGAAGAAAAGAAAACTCAAACATGTTCCTCAGGCTTTTGTTTGGTTTTCTGCCAGGTTTGATTTAACGTGTCTTACAACGATGAATCTATACGATGATTTACTAATAATTCATTAAATATGCGAAGGTCGGATGCCGATTAGTGTATAAAGATCATCACGCCATTTAAGATGCTATATACTCCCACGGGAAGTTTGCCTTGGCCATCCGTTAATTTGCTTCTCGCTTCCAAGCTCGGGCACGCCCCTGCTCCTTCCTCTGCGCGAGCTCCCCGACGTGGCGAGCCATACCCGCCAGATCGCGGTCCGCCGACCCGCCCTCCGCCATGGCCTCCCTTGCCATCGTCGCGAGCTCCTTTGCCCTCGCCCGTATTCCCGACCCCTCATCCATTAGCTCCGTCAGTGCCCTCTTGACGTCGTCTCTCCCGACCTGTTTCGCATGCGCCTCGGGGTTCAGGAACACGTGCATGGCCGGCACCTTAACGCCCACACGGACGCCGGCGCCGAGCACGTCCACGACCAGCGTCTCGTTCAGGAACTGGTCGGCGAAGTGCGGCCATGTCAGGATCGGCACGCCGTGGGAGATGGACTCCAGCGTGGAGTTCCACCCGCAGTGCGTCAGGAAGCCGCCCACCGCCGGGTGCGACAGGATGGTCATCTGCGGCGCCCACCCGCGGATGACCAGGCCGCGGCCCTCCACGCGCTCTTCGAACCCGGCGTCGAGGTCGTCGGTCTCCTTGGTCACCCAGATGAACGGCCGATTCGACGATTCCAGGCCGGCGGCGAGCTCGACGACCTGCGACGGGAAGAGGCGGGCCATGCTGCCGAAGCTGACGTAGAGCACGGACTGGTGCGCCCGGCCGTCAAGCCAGGAGACGACCAAGCCGGCGTCGACGGCCGCGCGGTTGCCTCTTCCGGCCGTCGTCTCCGCGTCGAGGTCCAGAAGGCAGAGCGGCCCGACCGCCCACGCCTTCCGGCCGAGCGCCTCTCCGTATCCCTTGATGTAGGCGCTCTCGAAGGCCGCGCACGTGTTGAAGACGAAGCCGTCGGCGGTGGCCTCGGCGTCCAGTGTCTCACGCCTTTGCTTCTCCAGCCCCGGAAAATGGAAGAACCCAAGCGACGTCGCCTTGTTGGTGACGACGCGCACGGGAAACTCCGGCACCTCGAACGGCTCGAAGTCGCCGGCGGCGCTGTCGTCGTGGACGCCGTGCGTGGCCAGGCTACGCTGTGCCAGGAGGAAGAACGCGGACGGGCCGTGGAAGACGAACCGTGGGATGTCAAGCCGGCGCGCGACGTCGGCCGTCCAGGGGTTGCAGGTGTCGGCGACGAGGCAGTCCGGCCGGCGCGGCAGCGCCCGGAGGTACGCCTCCAGCGGGGCGGCGAGCAGCCAGACGGCCTCGTAGAAAAGCGTGAAATGGGACATCTCCCTGACCATGTCGTGGCTCTCGCACCCCTCGGGCAGCCCCAGCGGCGGCCCCGGGAACGGGAGCTCGACGTGGTCGACCGCGAGCCCCTCGCGGAGCGCGTGGTCCAGGACGGCCCTGCTGCGCGCGGCGGTGACAGGCGTGAGGACGACGGTGGCGCGCGCGCCGGCGCGGCCGGCGATGAGGCGCGCCAGGTCGAGCACGGGGATCACGTGCCCCTGCGCCAGGAGCGGCACCAGGACGAAGTGTAGCGGGCGTGCCATGGCCGTGCCCGTGCCCGTACGTACAACAAGACACTGCGAGTAGATCAGGCAGGCTTACTTGCTGTACGCTGGAAGCGTGGAAGGAGAAGCTATGAAGCATCTGGAAGACGGCCACAGCCATAGCGTTCGAGAAGGCGTAGGAGTACGATCGATCGAGACAAGAAAACGCCGTCGCGCAGCACAAGTTTGGCACGTACGGCTTCCCTGGACGCCGAAAAGCACAGCACTGGTGGACAGTGGACACTGCTGGTCCTGCTACCTCGGCCACAGCAAGAGAATTGGTTCACAGACGACGGACGGCGGACGGCGATGGCCACCCACTAGTGCAACAACATGTACCAGTTGTCCGCGTACGGCTTCGATGGATGCCAGAAGCTAGCCTTCTTCTCTGGTGAGTGGTAACGCAGGCCGGGGTGTAGCGGTAGCGATCTGATAAGCCACGACCGTGGATGGTGAACGTGCAGGACGCAAGATGGCCGGCACCACTCGCTGCTCAGTGCTCCTCACTCGTCCAGTGCTTATGCCTACCACCCATCATCGTTCGACCTTCACAGTCAAAATCGAGCGACAACTTTGGTGTTCACACAGTGACAACTTTGAAACAAATACTACATTATTATTTTTATAAACACGAGGAAAAAGCTTTACAATTTTCATTAATTAGTAAGAAGACTGTTTCCAAGTTTTTTTTTTTGAAACTAGATTGTTTCCAAGTTAATTATGAAAACTTGGGCGAAAACCAATACAAAAGGACCAAGCCCACCACACTCATCACATGGCCAAACCAACTCAAACACCACATGACAACATCTACTCTCACCACCAACGCGGCAAACAACCCAGAAGGACACTAACCACATGTACACAGGAAAACGGTGACCCGCTCTACCAAGCAAGTCGGCCTCCCACCGCTGCTGGAGATAAGAAGTCAGAGACTGCTATGAAAGGAGCAGACTCGAGGCTCTCCCGCAAGGTGAAGATACCAAATGCAACTCATGATACTCCGCCGACCAACGTCGAGAGCAACCTCGCCGCCACGTGACGCGAGGTCTAACACAATCGATATTGCCAAACTATCGAGGCCGCCGCCCCAACTTCCGCTGCTCCGCCATGCACTGCACCGTCCACCGACATACCCCTTTTTTGAGC